CTCTCTCTGGTCTCTCTCCTCTCTCTCCTCTCTCTCTGGTCTCTCTCCTCTCTCTGGTCTCTCTCCTCTTTCTCCTCTCTCTGCTCTCTGGTCTCTCTCATCTCTCTGGTCTCTCTCCTCTCTCTCCTCTCTCTGCTCTCTGGTCTCTCTCGTCTCTCTCCTCTCTCTGGTCACTCTGGTCTCTCTCGTCTCTCTGGTGTCTCTCCTCTCTCTCCTCTCTCTGCTCTCTGGTCTCTCTCGTCTCTCTCCTCTCTCTGGTCACTCTGGTCTCTCTCGTCTCTCTGGTGTCTCTCCTCTCTCTCCTCTCTCTGGTCTCTCTCCTCTCTCTGCTCTCTGGTCACTCTGGTCTCTCTGCTCTCTCTGGTCTCTCTGGTCTCTCTCCTCTCTCTGCTCTCTCTCTGGTCTCTCTCCTCTCTCTGCTCTCTCTCTGGTCTCTCTCCTCTCTCTGCTCTCTCTCTCTGTGATAGCCCAGGCACCAGTGTGTATAGATTCACTTGTGAGTATTTGCTCTCTTCTTCTGGTATCCGTCTCCTGCTGGTGTTGAAAAGTGCCTGGCTCCTGGTTTACGTTCCTCTGACAGCTTGTTTTCGTCACGGATCCAGACTCTGACATAAGAAATAATCCAAGAGTCTGGATTCATATAAACCAGGAGTCTGTATAAATATAACCAGGAGTCTGTATAAATATAAACCAGGAGTCTGTAATATAATATTCATATAAACCAGGTCTGTCTCATATAACCAGGAGTCTGTATTCATATAAACAGGAGTCTGTCTTCATATAAACCAGGAGTCTGTAATATAACAGAGTCTGATAAATATAAACCAGGAGTCTGTATTCATATAAACCAGGAGTCTGTATAAATAAACAGAGTCTCTAATAACAGGAGTCTGTATAATATAAACCAGGAGTTGTCTTCATATAAACCAGGATTCATATAACCAGTCTGTATTCATATAAACCAGGAGTCTGTCTTCATATAACCAGGAGTCTGTATAAATATAAACCAGAGTCTGTCATAAACAGGAGTCTGTATTCATTAACAGGAGTCTGTATAGGAGTCTGTCTTCATATAAACAGAGTCTGTATTCATATAAACCAGGAGTCTGTATTCATATAACCAGGAGTCTGTATAAATATAACCAGGAGTCTGGATAAATATAAACCAGGAGTCTGTATTCATATAAACCAGGAGTCTGTATAATATAAACCAGGAGTCTGGATAATATAAACCAGAGTCTGTATTCATATAAACCAGGGTCTGCTTCATATAACGGAGTCTGTCTCATATAAACCAGGAGTCTGTATCATATAAACCAGGAGTCTGTATAAATAAACCAGGAGTCTGTATTCATATAAACCAGGAGTCTGTATTCATATAAACCAGGAGTCTGTATTCATATAAACCAGGAGTCTGTATTCATATAAACCAGGAGTCTGTATATATAAACCAGGAGTCTGTATTCATATAAACAGGAGTCTGTATTCATATAAACAGGAGTCTGTATTCATATAAACCAGGAGTCTGTATAAATATAAACCAGGAGTCTGTATAAATATAAACCAGGAGTCTGTCTTCATATAAACCAGGAGTCTGTCTTCATATAAACCAGGAGTCTGTCTTCATATAAACCAGGAGTCTGTATTCATATAAACCAGGAGTCTGTATTCATATAAACCAGGAGTCTGTATGAATATAAACCAGGAGTCTGTATTCATATAAACCAGGAGTCTGTATTCATATAAACCAGGAGTCTGTATTCATATAAACCAGGAGTCTGGATAAATATAAACCAGGAGTTTGGATAACTATAAACCAGGAGTCTGTATTCATATAAACCAGGAGTCTGTATTCATATAAACCAGGAGTCTGGATAAATATAAACCAGGAGTCTGTATTCATATAAACCAGGAGTCTGTCTTCATATAAACCAGGAGTCTGTATTCATATAAACCAGGAGTCTGTATAAATATAAACCAGGAGTCTGTATTCATATAAACCAGGAGTCTGTATAAATATAAACCAGGAGTCTGGATAAATATAAACCAGGAGTCTGTATTCATATAAACCAGGAGTCTGTATAAATATAAACCAGGAGTCTGGATAAATATAAACCAGGAGTCTGTGTTCATATAAACCAGGAGTCTGTCTTCATATAAACCAGGAGTCTGTCTTCATATAAACCAGGAGTCTGTATTCATATAAACCAGGAGTCTGTATTCATATAAACCAGGAGTCTGTATTCATATAAACCAGGAGTCTGTATAAATATAAACCAGGAGTCTGTATAAATATAAACCAGGAGTCTGTATAAATATAAACCAGGAGTCTGGATAAATATAAACCAGGAGTCTGTATTCATATAAACCAGGAGTCTGTCTTCATATAAACCAGGAGTCTGTATTCATATAAACCAGGAGTCTGTATTCATATAAACCAGGAGTCTGTATAAATATAAACCAGGAGTCTGTATAAATATAAACCAGGAGTCTGTCTTCATATAAACCAGGAGTCTGTATTCATATAAACCAGGAGTCTGTCTTCATATAAACCAGGAGTCTGTCTTCATATAAACCAGGAGTCTGTATTCATATAAACCAGGAGTCTGTATTCATATAAACCAGGAGTCTGTATTCATATAAACCAGGAGTCTGTATTCATATAAACCAGGAGTCTGTATTCATATAAACCAGGAGTCTGGATAAATATAAACCAGGAGTCTGGATAAATATAAACCAGGAGTCTGTATTCATATAAACCAGGAGTCTGGATAAATATAAACCAGGAGTCTGTCTTCATATAAACCAGGAGTCTGTATTCATATAAACCAGGAGTCTGGATAAATATAAACACTCATGAAGTTTCTTTTAGACTCTCGCCCTGAGCTGAAACCAGAGCCTGGTCCTCAGGTGTCAGACCGGGTCCACTTTAGCTGCTGTTTATACAGTCCTGGTTTAGACCTGAGACAGTCCTGGTTTAGACCTGAGGCAGTCCTGGTTTAGACCTGAGACAGTCCTGGTTTAGACCTGAGACAATCCTGGTTTAGACCTGAGATAGTCCTGGCTTAGACCTGAGACAGTCCTGGTTTAGACCTGAGACAGTCCTGGTTTAGACCTGAGACAGTCCTGGTTTAGACCTGAGACAGTCCTGGTTTAGACCTGAGATAGTCCTGGTTTAGATCTGAGACAGTCCTGGTTTAGAGCTGAGACAGTCCTGGTTTAGACCTGAGACAGTCCTGGTTTAGACCTGAGATAGTCCTGGCTTAGACCTGAGACAGTCCTGGTTTAGACCTGAGACAGTCCTGGTTTAGACCTGAGATAGTCCTGGTTTAGATCTGAGACAGTCCTGGTTTAGAGCTGAGACAGTCCTGGTTTAGACCTGAGATAGTCCTGGCTTAGACCTGAGACAGTCGTGGTTTAGACCTGAGGCAGTCCTGGTTTAGACCTGAGACAGTCCTGGTTTAGACCTGAGACAGTCCTGGTTTAGACCTGAGACAGTCCTGGTTTAGACCTGAGACAGTCCTGGTTTAGACCTGAGACAGTCCTGGTTTAGATCTGAGACAGTCCTGGTTTAGACCTGAGATAGTCCTGGTTTAGACCTGAGATAGTCCTGGTTTAGACCTGAGATAGTCCTGGTTTAGATCTGAGACAGTCCTGGTTTAGACCTGAGACAGTCCTGGTTTAGACCTGAGACAATCCTGGTTTAGACCTGAGACAGTCCTGGTTTAGAGCTGAGACAGTCCTGGTTTAGACCTGAGATAGTCCTGGTTTAGACCTGAGATAGTCCTGGCTTAGACCTGAGACAGTCCTGGTTTAGACCTGAGACAGTCCTGGTTTAGACCTGAGACAGTCCTGGTTTAGACCTGAGACAGTCCTGGTTTAGACCTGAGATAGTCCTGGTTTAGACCTGAGATAGTCCTGGTTTAGACCTGAGATAGTCCTGGTTTAGACCTGAGATAGTCCTGGTTTAGTAAGGCAGGACATCTGGATATGCAAACAGCTTCTTTCCACAAGCTGTTATCAACAAAGAACTTTAATTGCTTTAATTGCTTCTCTGGTCTCTCTCTGGTCTCTCTCTGGTCTCTCTCTGGTCTCTCTCTGGTCTCTCTCTGGTCTCTCTCTGGTCCCTCTCTGGTCTCTCTCTGGTCTCTCTCAGGTCTCTCTCTGGTCTCTCTCTAGTCTCTCTCTGGTCTCTCTCTCTGGTCTCTCTCTGGTCTCTGGTCTCTCTCTGGTCTCTCTCTGGTCTCTCTAGTCTCTCTCTGGTCTCTCTAGTCTCTCTCTGGTCTCTCTCTGGTCTCTCTCTGGTCTCTATCTGGTCTCTCTCTGGTCTCTCTCTGGTCTCTCTCTGGTCTCTCTCTGGTCTCTCTCTGGTCTCTCTCTGGTCTCTCTCTGGTCTCTCTCTGGTCTCTCTAGTCTCTCTCTGGTCTCTCTCTGGTCTCTCTCTGGTCTCTCTCTGGTCTCTCTCTGGTCTCTCTAGTCTCTCTCTGGTCCCTCTCTGGTCTCTTTCTGGTCTCTCTCTGGTCTCTATCTGGTTTCTCTCTGGTCTCTCTCTGGTCTCTCTCTGGTCTCTCTGGTCTCTCTCTGGTCTCTCTCTGGTCTCTCTCTGGTCTCTCTCTGGTCTCTCTCTGGTCTCTCTCTGGTCTCTCTCTGGTCTCTCTCTGGTCTCTCTCTGGTCTCTCTCTGGTCTCTCTCTGGTCTCTATCTGGTCTCTCTCTGGTCTCTCTAGTCTCTCTCTGGTCTCTCTCTGGTCTCTCTCTGGTCTCTCTCTGGTCTCTCTCTGGTCTCTCTCTAGTCTCTCTCTGGTCTCTCTCTGGTCTCTCTCTGGTCTCTCTCTGGTCTCTCTCTGGTCTCTCTATGGTCTCTCTCTGGTCTCTCTCTGGTCTCTCTCTGGTCTCTCTCTGGTCTCTCTATGGTCTCTCTCTGGTCTCTCTCTGGTCTCTCTATCATCTGAGTTGAACATATCTCTCCTTTCTCTAAATGTTGTTTTGTGTCTTCCTCAGACGTGGTCCACACCGAGGGCCCTCTGGACGGCAGCCTTTACGCCAAAGTCCGCAAAAAAGACATCGATCCTTCACCGACCTCCAACGGTCTGGTCCCTCCGCCCTCTGTGGACCAGGCCCTGTCCGTCAGCAGCGACTCTGGACACTCCACGGCCTCCATCAAGACCGAGAGAGACCAGAGAGAGAGACCAGAGAGGGAGACCAGAGAGAGACCAGAGAGAGCGTCCAAAGAGACGATTAGCCCGCAGGAGAAGCAGGAGCTGGAGCAGCTTCTGAGCGGCTTGCAAGGCCCCATGCATCGGCAGCCGTACTTATCCACGGCTAACGCTAACGGTGGCGCGATGCTGCATCTCGTTCCCGCTCAGATCCACGTCAACGGTCACACTGGGATAGAGCGCGAGACCGATATCTTGGACGATGAGTTCCCGACGAGTCAAGAAGGCAACAGCGTGGACAGTCTGGGGACCTTCTCGTCACTGGAAGATCGAGCTACATCTGCTGAGCTGTACTTCCAACCCGAGACCGACGGAGACCATGTGGCGTATTTGGAACGGACCACGCCCGAGAAACCCTCGTTAAACTCAAACGTAACGCAGCCGCCAGCTCCGACGCGGTCGACGAGCAGCCGGGATGCAGTGCAGCGAGGGTTGAATGTGTGGCAGAAGTTTGGGGTGACAGAGGAGCCGGTGACCGAGGGGATCGAGTTTAGCCCCTCCCACTTAGCCGTTAGCTACACCCATAGCTTGCCGCAGTTCCCAAACCGCGGCTCGGCATCGCAGCAAGAAATCGAACAGTCCATCCAAACGCTGAACCTGCTGATGCTGGACCTGGAGCCGGGGATGACCCGGTCTCACAGCGTCCAGGCCGTAGTCACCGCACAACCGTCTGTCTCACAAACGCAACATTTCAATGCAGACGGAGCTAGCTTGCGCAAGAATGTCACCAGTTTGGAGGTGATGCCGGGAAAGAGGAGTGTGCTGGAGCAGAAGAGGAGGCAGGAGGGGGAGGAGAAGAAGCCGGTGGAGGTGGGAGTGCCCCCTGGTGGCGGTCAGGTGGTGCTGCTGGAGAGAGAGGCTGACGAGACCGAGGAGGTGTTCAACGTGGAAGGACTGGTGAAGCAGAGAGTGGCAGGTACACATTTAAACCAAGGCACGACCTGGTCTCTCTCTGGTCTCTCTCTCTGGTCTCTCTCTGGTCTCTCTCTGGTCTCTCTCTGGTCTCTCTCTGGTCTCTCTCTCTGGTCTCTCTCTGGTCTCTCTGGTCTCTCTCTGGTCTCTCTCTGGTCTCTCTCTGGTCTCTCTCTCTGGTCTCTCTCTGGTCTCTCTCTGGTCTCTCTCTCTGGTCTCTCTCTGGTCTCTCTCTGGTCTCTCTCTGGTCTCTCTCTGGTCTCTCTCTGGTCTCTCTCTCTGGTCTCTCTCTGGTCTCTCTCTGGTCTCTCTGGTCTCTCTCTGGTCTCTCTCTGGTCTCTCTCTGGTCTCTCTCTGGTCTCTCTCTGGTCTCTCTCTGGTCTCTCTCTGGTCTCTCTCTGGTCTCTCTCTGGTCTCTCTCTGGTCTCTCTCTGGTCTCTCTCTCTGGTCTCTCTCTGGTCTCTCTCTGGTCTCTCTCTGGTCTCTCTCTGGTCTCTCTCTGGTCTCTCTCTGGTCTCTCTCTGGTCTCTCTGGTCTCTCTCTGGTCTCTCTCTGGTCTCTCTCTGGTCTCTCTCTGGTCTCTCTCTGGTCTCTCTGGGCTCTCTCTGGTCTCTCTCTGGTCTCTCTCTGGTCTCTCTCTGGTCTCTCTCTGGTCTCTCTCTGGGCTCTCTCTGGTCTCTCTCTGGTCTCTCTCTGGTGTCTCTCTGGTCTCTCTCTGGTCTCTCTCTGGTCTCTCTCTGGTCTCTCTCTGGTCTCTCTCTGGTCTCTCTCTGGTCTCTCTCTGGTCTCTCTCTGGTCTCTCTCTGGTCTCTCTCTCTGGTCTCTCTCTGGTCTCTCTCTGGCTCTCTCTGGTCTCTCTCTGGTCTCTCTCTGGTCTCTCTGGTCTCTCTCTGGTCTCTCTCTGGTCTCTCTCTGGTCTCTCTCTGGTCTCTCTCTGGTCTCTCTCTGGTCTCTGGTCTCTCTGGTCTCTCTCTGGTCTCTCTCTGGTCTCTCTCTGGTCTCTCTCTGGTCTCTCTCTGGTCTCTCTCTCTGGTCTCTCTCTGGTCTCTCTGGTCTCTCTCTGGTCTCTCTGGTCTCTCTCTGGTCTCTCTCTGGTCTCTCTCTCTGGTCTCTCTCTGGTCTCTCTCTGGTCTCTCTCTGGTCTCTCTCTGGTCTCTCTCTGGGCTCTCTCTGGTCTCTCTCTGGGCTCTCTCTGGTCTCTCTCTGGTCTCTCTCTGGTCTCTCTCTGGTCTCTCTCTGGTCTCTCTCTGGGCTCTCTCTGGTCTCTCTCTGGTCTCTCTCTGGTCTCTCTCTGGGCTCTCTCTGGTCTCTCTCTGGTCTCTCTCTGGTCTCTCTCTGGTCTCTCTCTGGTCTCTCTCTGGTCTCTCTCTGGTCTCTCTCTGGGCTCTCTCTGGTCTCTCTCTGGTCTCTCTCTGGTCTCTCTCTGGTCTCTGGTCTCTCTCTGGTCTCTCTCTGGTCTCTCTCTGGTCTCTCTCTGGTCTCTCTCTGGTCTCTCTCTGGTCTCTCTCTGGTCTCTCTCTGGGCTCTCTCTGGTCTCTCTCTGGGCTCTCTCTGGTCTCTCTCTGGTCTCTCTCTGGTCTCTCTCTGGTCTCTCTCTGGTCTCTCTCTGGGCTCTCTCTGGTCTCTCTCTGGTCTCTCTCTGGTCTAAGCAGAGATTGTTGGTTTGTAGTTGCCCTGACCTTAACTAAATTGTGAGCCTTAATTTCATATTTAAACATATTTAAATAAAAGTAAATATTATTCCTCAGCACGGGACGAAACATCAAGATTTGTGAGTCCAAACGCCAACAGAGGTTTCTCTCATCCTTCTTTCCCATTCTCGTTTCTCATGTTCACTTCCTGTTGTTCTCTCCATCTTCCCTGGACGATCTCTTTTTACCCAGAGTTCTCGGCTCGTGTCCAGATTTCCAAAATGGCGGCCTGGTCCTCGTGGCTTCCGGACCCTCGGCGCGCTCTCTCGCTCTGGGGTCGGTCTGTGTCTGTGGCGTGTGGCTCAGCGCTTGTGCTTGTGCTGTGTGGTTTTGAGAGCAGTCAATTTGACGGCTCTTAGTTTTGAAGCAGAACTCCTCGGCGTCTGAACATGTTTTTTCTTCAAACATTTCTGAATCTCTGTGGGCGGTTTTTAACGAAATGATTTATCCATTTAACTCCCACAACAGTTATTTTGACTGCTCCGTTCATTTGGTGCTGAGAGAGAGAGAGACCAGAGAGAGAGACCAAAGAGAGGGAGAGACCAGAGAGAGAGACCAGAGAGAGAGAGAGACCAAAGAGAGGGAGAGACCAGAGAGAGAGACCAGAGAGAGAGAGAGACCAAAGAGAGGGAGAGACCAAAGAGAGGGAGAGACCAGAGAGAGAGAGAGACCAAAGAGAGGGAGAGACCAAAGAGAGGGAGAGACCAAAGAGAGAGACCAAAGAGAGAGACCAGAGAGAGAGACCAAAGAGAGTGACCAAAGAGAGGGAGAGACCAGAGAGAGAGACCAAAGAGAGGGAGAGACCAAAGAGAGAGACCAAAGAGAGAGACCAGAGAGAGAGACCAAAGAGAGAGACCAAAGAGAGGGAGAGACCAAAGAGAGAGACCAGAGAGTGAAAGAGAAACCAGTTACTCCCGACACTGTAAAACGAAACTTCTCTTGTCTCATCACAAATTCTTCTCAAAACAGGTCATAGGAATGGTCTCTCTCTGGTCTCTCTCTCTGTGTTCTCGTTGGTCTCTCTCTCTGGTCTCTCTCTCTGGTCTCTCTCTGGTCTCTCCCTATTCTCTCTGGTCTCTCTCGCTGGTCTCTCTCTTGTCTCTCTCTCTGGTCTCTCTCTGGTCTCTCTCTCTGTGTTCTCGTTGGTCTCTCTCTCTGGTCTCTCTCTGGTCTCTCTCGGGTCTCTCTCTCTGGTCTCTCTCGGATCTCTCTCTCTGGTCTCTCTCGGGTCTCTCTCTCGGGTCTCTCTCTGGTCTCTCTCTCTGGTCTCTCTCGCTGGTCTCTCTCGGGTCTCTCTCTCTGGTCTCTCTCGGGTCTCTCTCGGGTCTCTCTCTCTGGTCTCTCTCTGGTCTATCTCTGGTCTCTCCCTATTCTCTCTGGTCTCTCTCGGGTCTCTCTCTCTGGTCTCTCTCGCTGGTCTCTCTCGGGTCTCTCTCTCTGGTCTCTCTCGGGTCTCTCTCTCTGGTCTCTCTCTGGTCTCTCTCTCTGGTCTCTCTCTCTGGTCTCTCTCGGGTCTCTCTCTCTGGTCTCTCTCGGGTCTCTCTCTCTGGTCTCTCTCTCTGGTCTCTCTCGGGTCTCTCTCGCTGGTGTCTCTCTTATATTCGCTCTATGGTAAAGTTTCCAAATTCTTCTGAGAGAAGGTCATTTATTAGCCGTAGTTGCCGTGACGTTTCTCTCCTCCTCCTCTGGTCCCACCTTAGCTGACTCTTGCAGCTGGAAAACATCAGCCGTTACCGTGGCAACGTCGCTTTGCATCTTGGGTACATCTGTTTCTGTGCATGAGTGAGAGAGAGGGAGGGGGTGAGGCAGGGGTGAGGCAGGGGTGAGGCAGGGAGGGGGCCGTCGTGTTTGGAGAGATGACCGCATCGAGCGCCGAGCCAAGAACAAGAGCTGGTTATGTAGAAAATACAGGGTTGTAGCTGGAGCCGTGGGAACCCAGGAAAAGCAAGTTATGATTCTATAAGTCACTGCAGTCGTGTGAGGAAGAGAACAGAAGGAGCTCCACCGTTTACAGAAAGAAGCTCGGAACTAAAGTTTAAAAGGCTCCTCTCTGTCTGAGCCTGTTTTTTGCTCTCTCTGGTCTCTCTGGTCTCTCTCTGGTCTCTCCCTCTGGTCTCCCTCTGGTCTCCCTCTGGTCTCTCTCTCTGGTCTCCTTCTGGTCTCCCTCTGGTCTCTCTCTGGTCTCTCTCTGGTCTCTCTCTGGTCTCTCTCTGGTCTCCCTCTGGTCTCTCTCTGGTCTCTCTCTGGTCTCTCTCTGGTCTCCCTCTGGTCTCCCTCTGGTCTCTCTCTCTGGTCTCCTTCTGGTCTCCCTCTGGTCTCTCTCTGGTCTCTCTCTGGTCTCTCTCTGGTCTCTCTCTGGTCTCCCTCTGGTCTCTCTCTGGTCTCTCTCTGGTCTCTCTCTGGTCTCCCTCTGGTCTCTCTCTGGTCTCTCTCTGGTCTCCCTCTGGTCTCCCTCTGGTCTCTCTCTGGTCTCTCTGGTCTCTCTCTGGTCTCTTTCTGGTCTCTTTCTGGTCTCTCTCTGGTCTCCCTCTGGTCTCTCTCTGGTCTCCCTCTGGTCTCTCTCTGGTCTCTCTCTGGTTTCTCTCTGGTCTCCCTCTGGTCTCTCTCTGGTCTCCCTCTCATCTCTCTCTGGTCTCCCTCTTGTCCCTCTCTTGTCTCTTTCTGGTCTCTCTCTGGTCTCCCTCTTGTCTCTCTCTGGTCTCTCTCTGGTCTCTCTCTGGTCTCCCTCTGGTCTCCCTCTGGTCTCTCTCTGGTCTCTCTCTGGTCTCCCTCTGGTCTCTCTCTGGTCTCTCTCTGGTCTCCCTCTGGTCTCTCTCTGGTTTCTCTCTGGTCTCCCTCTGGTCTCCCTCTGGTCTCCCTCTGGTCTCTCTCTGGTCTCCCTCTGGTCTCTCTCTGGTCTCTCTCTGGTCTCCCTCTGGTCTCTCTCTGGTCTCCCTCTGGTCTCCCTCTGGTCTCCCTCTGGTCTCCCTCTGGTCTCCCTCTGGTCTCTTGGATGTTGGACTTGCATGGTAGAATAACAGCACTTTTGGGTTTGTTTTAAGGACAACCGTCGCTTTGCTGCGTGTGCCGGCCATGTGCTAATGTGTGCTAGCTCAGGTTAGCTCAGGTTAGCTCACAGTAGCTCTCTTTGACTGCTCTCTGTGGTTGCAGGGGTCCAGGCCAGAGCTCTGGAGGAGCCTCCTCTCCCCCCCCAGCTGACCTTTGACCCCCAGCTGACCTCTGACCCCCAGGGGAACCCCCTGCGCTCCCCGGTCCGCTGTGTGTCTCCAGAGTTTGTGAACGCCATCGCCCTGAACCCAGGAGGGCGTCCCAAAGAGGTAGAGTCGCACACACACACACACACACACACACACACACAGATACACACAGATACACACACACACAGATACACACACACACACACACACAGACACACAGATACACACGCACACACACATATAAAAACACACACACACACACACACACATACACACACACACAGACACACACACACACATACACGTTTTTGTTACCTGGTGGGTCCCTTTGACAGGGCCGTTCAGAATGGGACCCATAGACATAATCTTTTTTTACTGGGACTACTTTAAGTAATACAAAACAGTCAATAGAAACCAAACAACTATTTTAAAGGAATTTTATTTTAGATTTTTTTTTTCGAATTGCAGTGATTCTATTTTTGACATAGAATTTAATGCCACTCCATGTCCGATGTCTAAGGTCATCTGGTGAGGCATTAATGCAGGCCAGGCAGTGAGACTTCCCAGGGACCTTTCCAGTCTGTATGAAAGGTGCCATGGTCTTCTCCACAGCCTTCACCTCAGATGCAGACCATGGCTTTCTTACACGTTCTAGGGAGAGAAATAAAAATATATTAGCAATATACACTCCCAGGGTGAGGACCAAGCAGCCTGGCTGTAATCCCCCACCTGGTACACTTACCAGAAGGGGCACTGCCACTACCATGGGGTGCATCTGGATGAATGGTTGAAGGTTCTCCGCTTGAAGTTTCTTTTAGCCCGTCCGTTTGTGAGAGGATCTCTACTGCTCTCCCTGTCGCACAGAAAATAAAAATACAAGTGGCCTTTAGGGGAAAAAAATCATACATATTTTAATAATATCAAGAATTACCTTCAGGCTCAATTTGTATCTGGTCGAGGCTCTTTCCTTCGAATTCCGTCACTCTTCCCTGCTCCATGGCCATCAACACTTTGCTGATTTTGGCCAGCTCCAGTGTCCCCTCTGGTAGTCTGTAATATTGCCTGTGGATGCGAATGTCATGGCCGAGGAAGTTGGCAAGTATGTCCATCTCATTCTCTTTCATATTGAGAACTGTAGACATAGTAGCTATGTGCTTTCTAAGTTTGGTTGAGGATAGCATCTCTGGATGCACCGCACCACATTCTTTGGCTACCTGGCGTAGGGAGTCTGATCCCCTGATGTGGGTGTCTGCGCCCGGGCGGGAAAAGAAGTATGGGTTATGGTCAGAGATGGAACAGGCCCTTCTGTTCTCCACCAGCACCTCCATCCAAGCAATCATTTCAGGAGTCAAAAGAACCGGCACTTTCCGACTTCTTTTCCCTTTAATTTCAATGCGTTGAAAATGCTGACACAGCTTTTTCTCAAGTTGGGACAGTCCCAGAGCAATGTCAGAATGGATCCCAGTCTTACTTCTTAAGGTAAAGGCTGTCAGTGGCATCTTTGAAACCTCACCTTCCCTTCTTCGATTGAAAATGATGACCTCACAAAGAGTCAAAACTGCCAGTTTAGACCAATGCTTAGACGTTGGCTCACTTATTAGGGTTTGCACATATTCAGGTCGACATACCTCAATATGTGCATGCATGGCTCTAACGTCCTCAGTCAGAGGGAGCAGGTCCGGAGTGTTCCACTTGGCTTGCCGGAGGGTCTGTAGGGCAGCAGAAGAAACACAGACGTCCCACCTCTTCTCAAAAAGCAGCCGGCTTCGTTGGAGGTTTTTAATAAATAGTTCATCAACACAATGCTCCATTTTTGAGTCACATTCAAGAATATCTGCTAGCTTTCTGAGGCTATGGCCGAGTTTGAGGGCCAAGGATGGAGTCTTGTATTGATTTGTTTCCTCATCATATCCAGCCACAGACCTGACTGCATCAATCACATGGTTAAAGTTGGAAGGAATAAAGAAATCCTTCATTGTTTTCAGTTTCCCTGCGGTTTTTGCTTCGTTAATTAACCTACCGACTTCTCTCATTTTCTGCCTAATGTAATCATGCTTAGTCTTATCATGCCCGTGTTTTAAGTACAGGTGCTCTCCGAGTCTCAGAATCCCCTTTTCTGCTTTGACAACACCCGTGACCTCATCCTGATGCATTGCCCAAATTAAAGACCACAGCTTTTTGCTGATGCCCTCCGGTACAGGCTGGGCTAGGGAGCAGAGGGACTGGACCCTACTTCTACCTGGTTTAGCCTGGGCATCTTTCTGTGAAAGCCGGCACCTGGCCACATGCCTCCACAGCGACTTTCGCTTAAGCAATGCCCAGAGGTGGGACAAAGTCATTGTTTAGCAAGTCACAAGTCAGTCTCAATTCATTGCCCTCAAGTCTCGAGTCAAGTCACGAGTCAAGACAGGCAAGTCCCGAGTCGAGTCCAAGTCAAAGGCCAACAAATCTCAAGTCAGTCCCAAGTCCTACGGTTTGACTTTCGAGTCCTCTCGAGTCTTTTTGACCGCGATTTGTTTCTTGTTGGTCTCCACGTACTTTTGTAGGCAAACAAAATAATGTTAGGAATCATTTTGCTGGTGCATTCTCGTTGGTCTCTGACCCATGGACTAACAGTTTGTTCCATGTGGTTGGCTGCTGATAAATCAAAACTATGTTGTGCCAGATGCAGGCTCAGTTACACATGCACAGACCACACATAAAATCAGAGCAGTCCGTGTCAACATACTTTTTATCTTTGGGGTTTTTAATGGGAAGTAGCAAGTGCAGCAGTGCAGCATATATGAATATGAGTATTGGGCTAGGACCTGTATCTATATAATCAGTTTAATGTCCATAGTGGTTATTGTTCCAAAGGACTGAAGGGACCAATGGAGGGGAAGGAACCTGGCCTGTATGAACTGGACCAGCATTAGTAATATCTCATAATTACCAATATATCATTACATAATAAAATGTCTCATATAAATTAATTCAATCAGTCAAAGCACTGATTCTCAAATCAATGAACCATAAACAATAGTGCAAATATTAATCTAGCTTAGTGCACATAATCAAAACAACTATCTAATGTATGCAAACTTTAGCAGGAGGAGCACAGCAAAAACATACTCATAATAATAGGCCTCGGCGCCCACACAGAAAAATATAAGAAAGAGCCAACAGAGCAGCGCAGGCTAGCGCTAGTTTGACTCACCAGTTCCTCTTTAAAACACGGCACACAGTGTGACAACTGCGTCGATTCAATTGTATGAGGCGCCTGTAGTGAAAGCATATCAATTACGGTTTGTAGAACAAAATATGACGTTAGGTCGCGATAAATACCTGCAGCTCGCTCATTTCCAGCTCCCCTACGACAACACACCCACCGGTGAATGCAGTCCGCTTGTTTAGGGAAGTGTTGCTGCGCGAACTGCGGGGAACTCACGTTCGAACTCTCGCGCGAGCGCTACAACTACCGCGAGGCTTTGTTTCTTCAGAGACGGCATAGATAGAAAGAGAGATGCGGAGAAAGGTAAAAATGGCCCGGGTTACGCAAGTCTTTGCAAGTCAATTGGCGCAAGTCCAAGTGAAAGTCAGAGTCATTGATGTTAAAGTCCAAGTCGAGTTGCAAGTCTTTTTACATTTGGTCAAGTCGAGTCTAATGTCATCAAAATCATGACTCGAGTCTGACTCGAGTCCAAGTCACATGACTCGAGTCCACACCTCTGGCAATGCCCCACAGTCTATACAGTGCAAAAACTCACTGGATTTTACTGGGCAATTTGGCTGTTTAGCTGGGACTAAAGTTCCAATGCCGGCCTTTAAAACCTCAACATTGTGCTCACGGTTTCCACTATTCCTGATCAAATCAAAGTGAAGTTTACGTGCTTTAGATTTCACAGGTAGAGCCAATGCTCTGGCTACGTCACTTTCATTTCCATGTTTTCTAGTCAAATGACGGGACATTTTGTGGCAGGACATTGAACAGTAGAGGCAGAAGTGTCTCTTGCTGTAAACTCGCCCCCCATTTTTCTTCTTTTGCAGCTGCATGATAACAATCTTATTTGCCTTTGGTTCGTCACTTTCCGAGTCTTGAAGAAAAGTGTTTTTGATTTTTCTTTTTCCATACTTTTTTACAGGTTTCTTCTTGACAGTTAAATCGTCAGAATCTGAGTCGACTTCATCAATTAGGGACTCTTGACTAAGCTGCACAAACAACAAATAATTTGTAATCATTCTATATAACAATTTGAAGTCATGACTTGTAGTCAGCACTTACCAGTGGTTTGTAAGCGTGCGCTTCAGTGTGCTGCTCTGTGATTGGCTGCAGCCTAATGAACCACACACTTGCACCTTTTTCTAGCCTGACACCTGATTTCCTCTGTTGTGCTGCTCCATGATTGGCTCCAGCCTCTGTTGTGCTGCTCCATGATTGGCTCCAGCCTCTGTTGTGCTGCTCCATGATTGGCTCCAGCCTCTGTTGTGCTGCTCCATGATTGGCTCCAGCCTCTGTTGTGCTGCTCCATGATTGGCTCCAGCCTGCTGGACTGAAATTGCCCCAGTGTGCCCCTCCTTGAAATCCCGCAACCCACCACCAGGGTTCCGACACATAACACACTTTTTTCAGGAAAGTAAACCTCCAGGGGTCCTTTCCATATTTTTACAGAGACTGCATAAGGACCGTTAGAAAAGCATTACCCATTGATTATTAAGCTTGGACCAGTGGGGTCCGGTGTTCGGGCCCCACCACGTAAAACCAGTCCCCATGACGTGAGTGGAATCTCAGGTTATGGAACCCACCAGGAGTTGAAAACAAGTGCACACACACACACACACACACACACACACACACACACACACACACACACACACACACGAACACACACACACACACACACACAGACACACACACGTACACACACACACACACACACACACACAGACACACACACGTACACACACACAGTAATCACAGTTTAAGCGTCTACCTTTCGACCAATCAGTGTCAAAGGGGCGTCGGCTTGATCACAAGCATTGGTTTGATGTTGACAAGTGTCGGCGTGGGCCGTGTCCGCAGCACCATCAGCAGTTTGGTAAAGCAGCATCATATTCACAGATTCAGACTTCTGCGGTCATTAGCTCACGAAAGCTTTGTTAAACAAAAGTAATTTGCTAAAATTATCATCTCTGCGTTGGTTTTACAGATTCAATGATGCACTGTTTTAATGCAGAGAGAAGCTTAGGGACCGTCAACAAATGTCCAGACCAGCTGTAAACGAACAATAGCTTTTACTGAAGCCTTGTGCACTAAACTCTCAGGCAATATAAATAATGTCCATGTCTAACTGCTGCTGAGAGACCAGAGAGAGACCAGAGGGAGACCAGAGAGAGACCAGAGAGAGACCAGAGAGAGACCAGAGAGAGAGACCAGAGAGAGACCAGAGAGAGACCAGAGAGAGACCAGAGAGAGACCAGAGAGAGACCAGAGAGAGACCAGAGAGAGAGACCAGAGAGAGAGACCAGAGAGAGACCAGAGAGAGACCAGAGAGAGACCAGAGAGAGACCAGAGAGAGACCAGAGAGAGACCAGAGAGAGAGACCAGAGAGAGACCAGAGAGAGACCAGAGACCTTATCTATAAAGTATAGAGTATATATAATTAACTGTGGTGTTCTGGTTTGTCCTGGTGTCTCCTAGCGGCACATGCACAGTTACCGCGAGGCCTTCGAGGAGCTGGAGACGGCGCCCCCTGCTGTTGGTGGTGAGGTGTTTCCCCAAACCCCAGGCTTTCCTGTGTCACCGCAAACCCCCTACTTCAACTTGTGTAAGTGTGGTTGCCTGCAGAGGGCACTGTGGAGACTGTTTTACACTTCTGTTCCCAGAGCTAATACAACCTCAACTACAGACTTCACAAAGAACCCAGACATACTGGGAACACGAGAGAGACCAGAGAGAGAGAGACCAGAGAGAGCGAGACCAGAGAGAGACCAGAGACAGAGACCAGAGAGAGACCAGCGAGAGACCAGAGAGAGACCAGAGAGAGACCAGAGAGAGAGACCAGAGAGAGACTAGAGAGAGAGACTAGAGAGAGAGACCAGAGAGAGCGAGACCAGAGAGAGACCAGAGACAGAGACCAGAGAGAGACCAGAGAGAGACCAGAGAGACCAGAGAGAGACCAGAGAGAGACCAGAGAGAGACCAGAGAGAGACCAGAGAGAGACCAGAGAGAGAGACCAGAGAGAGACCAGAGAGAGACCAGAGAGAGACCAGAGAGAGAGAGAGACCAGAGAGAGAGACCAGAGAGAGACCAGAGAGAGACCAGAGAGAGAGACCAGAGAGAGACCAGAGAGGGACCAGAGAGAGACCAGAGAGAGACCAGAGAGAGACCAGAGAGAGAGACCAGAGAGAGACCAGAGAGGGACCAGAGAGAGACCAGAGAGAGACCAGAGAAAGACCAGAGAGAGAGACCAGAGAGAGACCAGAGAGACCAGAGAGAGACCAGAGAGAGACCAGAGAGAGACCAGAGAGAGACCAGAGAGAGACCAGAGAGGGACCAGAGAGAGACCAGAGAGAAAATGGCTGGTCACCGGAGATGTCACATAAATGCAAACTATCGAACAAAAGAATGCACTTTTTAAGTATTTTTCAGTTGAATTATTGTAAAATCATCATGAACAGACTCACAGTGTCTCAAAGCAGCTGCACTGATGGTATCTGCGTGTGTTGCACTGATGGTATCTGCGTGTGTTGCACTGATGGTATCTGTGTGTGTTGCACTGATGGTACCTGCGTGTGTTGCACTGATGGTATCTGCGTGTGTTGCACTGATGGTATCTGCGTGTGTTGCACTGATGGTATCTGCGTGTGTTGCACTGATGGTACCTGCGTGTGTTGCACTGATGGTATCTGCGTGTGTTGCACTTATGGTACCTGCGTGTGTTGCACTGATGGTATCTGCGTGTGTTGCACTGATGGTACCTGCGTGTGTTGCACTGATGGTACCTGCGTGTGTTGCACTGATGGTATCTGCGTGTGTTGCACTGATGGTACCTGCGTGTGTTGCACTGATGGTATCTGCGTGTGTTGCACTGATGGTATCTGCGTGTGTTGCACTGATGGTATCTGCGTGTGTTGCACTGATGGTATCTGCGTGTGTATCACTGATGGTATCTGCGTGTGTTGCACTGATGGTATCTGCGTGTGTTGCACTGATGGTATCTGCGTGTGTTGCACTTGCACTGATGGTATCTGCGTGTGTTGCACTGATGGTACCTGCGTGTGTTGCACTGATGGTATCTGCGTGTGTTGCACTGATGGTACCTGCGTGTGTTGCACTGATGGTATCTGCGTGTGTTGCACTGATGGTACCTGCGTGTGTTGCACTGATGGTACCTGCGTGTGTTGCACTGATGGTATCTGCGTGTGTTGCACTGATGGTACCTGCGTGTGTTGCACTGATGGTATCTGCGTGTGTTGCACTGATGGTATCTGCGTGTGTTGCACTGATGGTATCTGCGTGTGTTGCACTGATGGTATCTGCGTGTGTATCACTGATGGTATCTGCGTGTGTTGCACTGATGGTACCTGCGTGTGTTGCACTGATGGTACCTGCGTGTGTTGCACTGATGGTATCTGCGTGTGTATCACTGATGGTACCTGCGTGTGTTGCACTGATGGTATCTGCGTGTGTTGCACTGATGGTATCTGCGTGTGTTGCACTGATGGTACCTGCGTGTGTTGCACTGATGGTATCTGCGTGTGTATCAATGATGGTATCTGCGTGTGTTGCACTGATGGTATCTGCGTGTGTTGCACTGATGGTACCTGCGTGTGTATCACTGATGGTATCTGCGTGTGTTGCACTGATGGTATCTGCGTGTGTTATGGTACCTGCGTGTGTTGCATGGTGTGGTCGCTTCCTGGTGCTTCCCCTGTTTGTGTCCGGTGCATGTTTGGGCTGCAACAGTTTATTATGTTCTAGTCTGCTCACACATGTTTCCCTCCTCATGGTCTCTCTCTGGTCTCTCTCTCTGGTCTCTCTCTGGTCTCTCTCTGGTCTCTCTCTGGCCTCTCTCTCTGGTCTCTCTCTGGTCTCTCTCTCTGGTCTCTCTCTCTGGTCTCTCTCTGGTCTCTCTCTGGTCTCTCTCTCTGGTCTCTCTCTCTGGTCTCTCTCTGGTCTCTCTCTGGTGTCTCTCTCTGGTCTCACTCTCTGGTCTCTCTCTGGTCTCTCTCTGGTCTCTCTCTGGTCTCTCTCTGGTCTCTCTCTCTGGTCTCTCTCTGGTCTCTCTCTGGTCTCTCTCTGGTCTCTCTCTGGTCTCTGGTATCTCTGGTCTCTCTCTGATCCCTCTGGTCTCTCTTCTAGGTCGGTCTCCTCCTGGTCTGGCTAAGACTCCTCTCTCGGCTCTGGGCCTGAAGCCTCACAATCCTGCAGAGATCCACCTGAACCAGACCGGAGCAGGTACCACTGTCGAGCTCAGAGAGTTTTAATCGTATAGCACAGTTCATACACAACTCAGAAGCAGAACAAACAAGATGTCAGGAGGCCAGTCCCTGTGCTCCTCAGAGTCCCAGCAGGAGGCCAGTCCCTGTGCTCCTCAGAGTCCCAGCAGGAGGCCAGTCCCTGCGCTCCTCAGAGTCCCAGCAGGAGGCCAGTCCCTGTGCTCCTCAGAGTCCCAGCTGGAGGCCAGTCCCTGTGCTCCTCAGAGTCCCAGCTGGAGGCCAGTCCCTGTGCTCCTCAGAGTCCCAGCAGGAGGCCAGTCCCTGTGCTCCTCAGAGTCCCAGCAGGAGGCCAGTCCCTGTGCTCCTCAGAGTCCCAGCAGGAGGCCAGTCCCTGTGCTCCTCAGAGTCCCAGCAGGAGGCCAGTCCCTGTGCTCCTCAGAGTCCCAGCAGGAGGCCAGTCCCTGTGCTCCTCAGAGTTGGTTCATTTGTCACTAACATGTACCAGATGTAGAGACCTGAGACCAGGACTAATGTGAGAGGACTTCAGGACAGAGACCTGAGACCAGGACTAATGTGAGAGGACTTCAGGACAGAGACCTGAGACCAGGACTAATGTGAGAGGACTTCAGGACAGAGACCTGAGACCAGGACTAATGTGAGAGGACTTCAGGACAGAGACCTGAGACCAGGACTAATGTGAGAGGACTTCAGGACAGAGACCTGAGACCAGGACTAATGTGAGAGGACTTCAGGACAGAGACCTGAGACCAGGACTAATGTGAGAGGACTTCAGGACAGAGACCTGAGACCAGGACTAATGTGAGAGGACTTCAGGACAGAGACCTGAGACCAGGACTAATGTGAGAGGACTTCAGGACAGAGACCTGAGACCAGGACTAATGTGAGAGGACTTCAGGACAGAGACCTGAGACCAGGACTAATGTGACCAGAGACAGAGACCTGAGACCAGGGAGAGACCAGACTTAGTACTAGGTCCTGAACACATGGTGTGATACTGATGCCACTGGTTCTAAAGCTCTGTCTGGGTCTCGGTCTTGGTCTCGGTCTTGGTCTGCAGCTCCCAGAACGTATGTGGAGTCTGTGGCCGCAGCAGCAGGACCAGACCCCCCCTCGTCTCTGCGCCGTGGGAGCCCCCTGGTGGACAGAGAGAGCACTGCAGCCAACACACAGAGCCAATCAGAGAGCAGCATCACAAAGGCTCCGAGCCAATCAGAGGAGAGACAGCACAAGGCCAGCAGCCCAGTCCTGGAGCGGCTTCTGTTCTCACAGGTACTGATCCAGACGAGCAGAATGTGTTTGACAATTATTTCTTTATTATTTAAAGCTGGGGCACGTAACTTTGTTTTCACATGCACATGTTTTGGTCTCTCTTTCTCTGGTCTCTCTCTGGTCTCTCTCTGGTCTCTCTCTGGTCTCTCTCTGGTCTCTCTGATCTCTCTCTGATCTCTTTCTGGTCGGCATTTGACAAAACTTGCTCAAATCCAATCCACTTTATTTGTATAGTACATTTCATAAACACAGTTTCCAAAGTGCTGCACCATAAAGTACAGTACTATTTAAAACCAATCCATAGTAAAACAGTAAAATAATAAAAAATCAAACATGTAAAAAAAACCGTGTGTGCAAATATGTAGAAATATAAAAATAACAATAAAAAGATGGAATAAAATAAAATTAAAATAAAATAAAAAACTACACGTTCATTCCCATAAAAAAGCTACAGCTTTAGAACTTATGGAAACCTCAAAATAGTTTTTGTGGCCTTTTGTAAATCTGTCTCTCTTCTGGTCCACAGCACCTCAGCCAATCAGAGGCCAGTGTGAAGCCACGGCCTGAGAGCCCTGAAGGGGGCAGCACTGAGGAGACCGGCCCTCTGTCCAGCAGCAGCCCTGTCCCCTGTACCAGCAGGTGAGACCAGAAAGAGACCAGAGGGAGACCAGAAAGAGACCAGAGGGAGACCAGAGAGAGACCAGAGAGAGAGAACAGAGAGAAAGACCAGAGAGAGACCAGAGAGAGAGACCAGAGAGAGACCAGAGAGAAACCAGAGAGAGAGACCAGAGAGAGAGACCAGAGAGAGACCAGAGAGAGACCAGAGAGAGACCAGAGAGAGACGAGAGAGACCAGAGAGAGACCAGAGAGAGAGAACAGAGAGAAAGACCAGCGAGAGACCAGAGAGAGAGACCAGCGAGAGACCAGAGAGAGACCAGAGTGAGACCAGAAAGAGACCAGAGGGAGACCAGAGAGAGAGACCAGCGAGAGACCAGAGAGAGACCAGGACCAGACCAGCGAGAGACCAGAGAGAGAGACCAGCGAGAGACCAGAGAGAGAGACCAGAGAGAGACCAGAGAGAGACCAGAGAGAGACCAGAGAGAGACCAGAGAGAGACCAGAGAGAGACCAGAGAGAGAGACCAGAGAGAGAGACCAGAGAGAGAGACCAGAGAGAGACCAGAGAGAGACCAGAGAGAGACCAGAGAGAGACCAGAGAGAGACCAGAGAGGGGCCAGAGAGAGACCAGAGAGACCAGAGAGAGACCAGAGAGAGAGAACAGAGAGAAAGACCAGCGAGAGACCAGAGAGAGACCAGAGAGAGAGACCAGAGAGAGAGACCAGAGAGAGAGACCAGAGAGAGACCAGAGAGAGACCAGAGAGAGAGACCAGAGAGAGACCAGAGAGAGACCAGAGAGAGACCAGAGAGAGACCAGAGAGACCAGAGAGAGACCAGAGAGAGAGAACAGAGAGAAAGACCAGCGAGAGACCAGAGAGAGAGACCAGCGAGAGACCAGAGAGAGACCAGAGGGAGACCAGAAAGAGACCAGAGGGAGACCAGAGAGAGAGACCAGAGAGAGACCAGAGAGAGACCAGCGAGAGACCAGAGAGAGAGACCAGCGAGAGACCAGAGAGAGAGACCAGAGAGAGACCAGAGAGAGACCAGAGAGAGACCAGAGAGAGACCAGAGAGAGACCAGAGAGAGACCAGAGAGAGAGACCAGAGAGAGAGACCAGAGAGAGAGACCAGAGAGAGACCAGAGAGAGACCAGAGAGAGACCAGAGAGAGAGAGAAAATAATTGACAACAGTGATGTGGGACAAAGAGGAAGTGGAACTTTGTGTGAAATTAAAAGATTGTTTCCGTAGTAAACAAAGTGAAACTATTGGCTCTTTGGAACATTGTGATGTCACATGATCACACCATAAATGTTCTGTGTTGAATCTGTTCCCAGGGAGTTTCCTTCTGTGGACAGCGGCCTCAGCACTCCGTCCCAACCCACCACCGACTCTGGCTTCCGCTCCCAGACCGCAGAAAGCTACTACCAGACTCCCACTCCCTCCTACACCCCCACTTACCCCAACAGGTCCTCCCCAATGCCTGCCTACCCTCCTGGGACCTCCCCTGGTTCAACCTACCCAACCAGGTCCTCCCCTGGTTCAACCTACCCAACCAGGTCCTCCCCAATGCCTGCCTACCCTCCTGGGACCTCCCCTGGTTCTGCCTACCCAACCAGGTCTTCTCCTACGCCTGCTTACCCTCCTGGGACCTCCCCTGGTTCTGCCTACCCAACCAGGTCTTCTCCTACGCCTGCCTACCCTTCTGGGACCTCCCCTGGTTCAACCTACCCATCCAGGCCGACCCACACTCACACAAACCCTCCAGAGAGCTCTCAGTCTCCTGCATACTTCCACCAGACCTTCCCCTCGTACCTGGACTCCTCCTATGTCCCGTCCCCTCACCCTGGGCAGGAGGCCTCAGCAGTGGCCCAGGGCAGTCCGCTCTCCCTCCACCGGCTGGTCCCAGGGCTCCAGGCTAACGGCTTGGAGGGCGTGGGGGGGCGGGGGGTGGGAGGCAGCCCGGTGTTTGTGCGGAGGATGTCACAGAGCAGAGACCAGAGGAGCCCGGTAATGACCCGGCAGGCCTCGATCGGGATGCCCCAGCAGAGCAGCCCGGTCCTGGGGAGACACCCTTCCATGTCGCAGGTGAGAACCAACGCATCGCCTCACAGATCTGTGAGAGAGAGAGAGAGAGAGAGAGAGACAGAGAGAGAGAGAGGTGGAGGAGAGAGAGAGAGAGAGGTGGAGGAGAGAGAGAGAGAGAGGTGGAGGAGAGAGAGAGACAGACAGAGTGAGACAGAGAGGTGGAGGAGAGAGAGAGAGAGAGAGAGAGAGAGACAGAGAGGTGGAGGAGAGTTAGAGAGAGAGACAGAGAGGTGGAGGAGAGAGAGACAGAGAGGTGGAGGAGAGAGAGACAGAGAGACAGAGAGGTGGAGGAGAGAGAGAGACAGACAGAGTGAGACAGAGAGGTGGAGGAGAGAGAGAGAGAGAGACAGAGTGAGACAGAGAGGTGGAGGAGAGAGAGAGAGACAGAGTGAGACAGAGAGGTGGAGGAGAGAGAGACAGAGAGGTGGAGGAGAGAGAGACAGAGAGACAGAGAGGTGGAGGAGAGAGAGAGACAGACAGAGTGAGACAGAGAGGTGGAGGAGAGAGAGAGAGAGAGACAGAGTGAGATAGAGAGGTGGAGGAGAGAGAGAGAGAGAGACAGAGTGAGACAGAGAGGTGGAGGAGAGAGAGAGAGAGAGACAGAGAGGTGGAGCAGAGAGAGAGAGACAGACCGAGAGGTGGAGGAGAGAGAGAGAGACAGAGAGGTGGAGGAGAGAGAGAGAGAGTGACAGAGAGGTGGAGGAGAGAGAGAGAGAGACAGAGAGGTGGAGGAGAGAGAGAGAGACAGAGAGGTGGAGGAGAGAGAGAGAGAGAGAGAGAGAGAGAGGTGGAGGAGAGAGAGAGAGAGAGAGAGAGAGAGGTGGAGGAGAGAGAGAGAGAGAGGTGGAGGAGAGAGAGAGAGACAGACAGAGAGGTGGAGGAGAGAGAGAGAGAGACAGAGAGGTGGAGGAGAGAGAGAGAGAGAGAGATACAGAGAGGTGTAGGAGAGAGAGAGAGACAGACAGAGTGAGACAGAGAGGTGAAGGAGAGAGAGAGAGAGATACAGAGAGGTGGAGGAGAGAGAGAGAGAGAGAGATACAGAGAGGTGTAGGAGAGAGAGAGAGACAGACAGAGTGAGACAGAGAGGTGGAGGAGAGAGAGAGAGAGAGGTGGAGGAGAGAGAGGGAGAGATACAGAGAGGTGGAGGAGAGAGAGAGAGCGAGAGATACAGAGAGGTGGAGGAGAGAGAGAGAGAGAGAGAGGTGGAGGAGAGAGAGAGAGAGAGAGAGAGGTGGAGGAGAGAGAGAGAGCGAGAGATACAGAGAGGTGGAGGAGAGAGAGAGAAAGAGAGAGAGAGAGAGAGGTGGAGGAGAGAGAGAGAGAGAGAGTTGGAGGAGAGAGAGAGAGACAGAGAGGTGGAGGAGAGAGAGAGAGAGAGGTGGAGGAGAGAGAGAGAGAGATAGAGAGAGGTGGAGGAGAGAGAGAGAGATACAGAGAGGTGGAGGAGAGAGAGAGAGAGAGAGATACAGAGAGGTGTAGAAGAGAGAGACAAACAGAGTGAGACAGAGGTGGAGGAGAGAGAGAGAGAGAGATACAGAGAGGTGTAGAAGAGAGAGACAAACAGAGTGAGACAGAGAGGTGGAGGAGAGAGAGAGAGAGAGAGAGACAGAGAGGAGAGAGATACAGAGAGGTGGAGGAGAGAGAGAGAGAGAGAGAGAGAGAGACAGAGAGGAGAGAGAGGAGAGAGAGAGAGAGAGAGAGACAGAGAGGTGGAGGAGAGAGAGAGAGAGAGAGAGAGAGAGAGGTGTAGGAGAGAGAAAGACCGGAGAGAGACCAGCGAGAGAACATAGAGAGAGGGACCAGATCCTGGTCCTGGTCCTGGTCCTGGTCCTGATGTTGCCTGTGTGCAGATGTCCCAGAGGAGTCCGTCTCTGGACCGTCACCCTCTGCACAGCGGTTACACCACCCCAGACCCGGAGCTCCACGGCAGCCTGTCCCGCCAGAGCAGCTCGTCCGGCTACCAGGGTCCAGCCACGCCCTGCTTCCCCCTGTCCCCCGGGTCTCCAGGACCAGGGTCAGGACCAGGGCTCGAGCTACAGCCGCTGCTCCCAGAGAAGAGGCGCATGTCGAGCGGAGACAAGCCCACTGCGGTGTGCTACAACACGCTCAACGGGAAGACCGGGCCGGGCTCTGGACTGGGCTCTGGACTGGGCTCTGGACCGGGCTCAGGAGCGGGCTCTACGGCGGCCTCGGCGGGGCAGGGGTACTTCCACACTCTGTCAGACTTCTCTCGGTTCCATATGTTTGGTAAGAGGCAGTGTTCTCCATGTTCCAACATCGTTCCTCGTCAGTCCTCTGGAGGTGTGGTTAGATCCATGAAGACAGACAGAAGGGGCGGAGCTACATGTTTGTGGCAGAAGTGTGTGAAGTTAGCGTGGGCAGAGCTAAACACAGCCCCAGGTCTGTGGCTGATGAGGAACAGTGTTAGAACCATGTCTTTAACGTTATTAGAATAAAAAGTCAGTAATATAGAGTGTAATGTGCTGCTGTGTCCTGCAGAGGGCAGCGCTGAGAGCAGGCTCAGCGCCAAGTTCGTCCAAGACACAACCAAGTTCTGGTACAAACCAGAAATCTCCAGAGACCAGGGTGAGACACACACACATAGATACACACACACACAGACCATAGACTGTATATATTAACAGACAGAGTCAGTATCTCCGCCGTTCTAACTAATGGGCCAAAAAATGTGCTCTATTGGAGCTATCCAAAATGGCCGCGAGTGGTCCCGCCCACAAGAAAATTGTGAAAAAACACATGTGTGCATGTGTCAGCCGGCGCAGCTCCATTCATTTAAACAGAGACTTCTAAAGTCCACAGCGACTAAACTAGACTGGTCCAGAACACTCAGCATTGACACACATGTGGAACGGAGCTTTGGGCCAAGAGACACTTTAGGACCATCCTGTAAAGACGTTTTCCAGAGGTCTGCTAATGCTATATGTTAGCATTGGATAATTCTTATTCCGGGTCCACCCCCACAGGCCCGGGGTGGTACTGCAGCATGTCAGAGTCCACCCCCACAGGCCCGGGGTGGTACTGCAGCATGTCAGCGCACGTCATTTTGGACACTTGCGCACTGACACAGACACACACACAAGCACACACATACACACACACACACACACAGACACCGAGAGAGACCAGAGAGAGAGAGACCAAAGAGAGAGACCAGAGAGAGACCAGAGAGAGACCAGAGAGAGAGAGACCAAAGAGAGAGACCAGAGAGAGACCAGAGAGAGAGACCAGAGAGAGAGACCAGAGAGAGAGACCAGAGAGAGACCAGAGAGAGAGAGACCAAAGACAGAGACCAAAGACAGAGACCAGAGAGAGACCAGAGAGAGACCAGAGAGAGACCAGAGAGAGAGAGAAAGAGACCAGGGGAAAAGCTGTGGGAATGTGATAGGATTATGTGTTGCTGATGTGTGTGTCTGTCTGTGTGTGTGTGTGTTTGTGTGTTTGTGTCTGTGTGTGTGTGTCCTCAGCCATCAGTCTCCTGAAGGACAAAGAGCCTGGAGCCTTCGTGATCCGAGACTCGCACTCGTTTAAAGGAGCGTACGGTCTCGCCATGAAGGTGGCCTGCCCCCCTCCCTCTGCCCCCCCCAACAAGAAAGGTGCTCTACCCTACCCTACTCTACTCTACTCTACCCTACACTACCCTACCCTACCCTACTCTACCCTACCCTACCCTACTCTACCCTACCCTACTCTACCCTACCCTACCCTACCCTACTCTACCCTACTCTACCCTAACCTAACCTAACCTACTCTACTCTACCCTACCCTACCCTACCCTATCCACTCTCTACCCTACTCTACTCTACCCTACACTACCCTACCCTACCTTACCCTACCCTACTCTACCCTACCCTACCCTA